CAGGTCGGCAGCCTTACCCATGATTGGGGTTTTGAGTGATGAACCAGGCTAGGAGTTTTAAAGGCCTCATGAATCTTTTGCAGGATTTTAGAGTTAATTTGTTGAACCAGATGGTTAAGTTAGACCTTTTTCATAATATGATAATTTTGTGAGATAGGAATTTTGGTTTTTCATGAGCTGTATGCCAAAATCTACCATATTAAGACAACAAAAGACTTGAAATATTTCAGTTAGTGTGCAATGAATCTAAAATATATGAATGTTCAAGTTTTATTACATTATCGAAAATATTGAACTTTATCACAATATGCTAATATTGTGGGAAGGACCTGTAGTGATACAGTTTAGGCCCCAACTTGATCTGAAGGCTAAAGTTTAACACGTTTGCATTACAGAATGAGGCAACATGACACTGAAAAAAACAGCTCTACTTAAGAATTTTTTGAGAATCACACATTTTTGTCAACTATAATTTTTATTTTGCAAGGACAATAAGACAGCATCTATTTTTTTATATAGGATTTTCATTTAAAGTTCTATTAGAAGATCCCTTAGCAGTTTCAATTAGGTTTTTTCAGCTCTTTTATTACATACAATACTTTTAGGGAAATAAGATATGGGATGCATGGGCGTAGGTTTGCATAGGGACCATAGGGACATGTCCCTACCAAAATTTTGAACCGACCTAATTGTCCCGACCAATAATTGGATGTGAGCAACATGTTTATAATTTACAGCAGTAGTTGTTGCAGCAGTGGCTTCTTTTCCTCTCGCAGCTCCTCTGCCTGGTCTCTCCTGTCCCTTTCATGTAGCAACGCATGGAACTGTGCTGCGCTGTTTAACTCAACTCTCATTGGTTGTTCTGCCTTAAGTTCCGCCTTCTCTCTCTCTCTCAGAATATTTCGTTTTATAAACGAAATATTCTGAGTCATTTTATTTGCCCATTTTTCTGTTGGAAAAATGGGCAAATAAAGGCTGTAAGCCATCAACATTTTTGATTCTTAGCCACAGCCAACTAAAAAAGAAAATGTGAGGGTTGCCTTTTTACCGATATTAAGTTGATATTACTGTTTTCATTTTTTTTGTTTTTATTTTTACAATTTTGATATAATCACTGATCTAAGTGGGTTACTCTGTGGGGAAAGGCACATTTTACATTTATATTACTGTATGTTTTAAAGTCTCTATACTCCAGTTAATGATGAATCACTCACTAAATTAGTTGACGATTATTGAAAGAATCAATTAATATGATTAATTTTTTTCAGCCCCAGATGAAATACATGATATTGGCTTCACAGAGTAACTACAGCCCAGATGTTCAACTTTTATAGTGATGTTAATATTTTAATGAATGTATTATTTTGCTTGATACAGAGAGAGAATAGTAGGTACAAATATTAGAGTGGGGTTTAACTCTGCACAATTCTGTATCTTCAAAAGAAAATACTGTATTTACCTTCTCTCTTAGTCGTTCAAATGAAACCGTTTTCAAAGTGGAAAACAGTCCTAATTCCACATTCATCAGAGCCGGTGATACTTCAAACATTGATAAACAGCATCTAATGAGTGTAGAGCATATAACATTTTTATTAGTGGAGCAAAATGTTGCTTTTCTCTTTTAACAATGAATTCCTCTTATCAGTACGGATGCTCACATCGAGCATAAAAAAGGGCATGCATATTGCATAGCACCAATGACACCAGACCAATAGTGTCCCTACCAAAGTTCAAATGAGACCTACGCCCTTGATGGGATGTGTTTGATTTCAGAGGCTGCGACCTCCATGAACACGGTCTGTTTGGACTGGATCCTTCAAAGTCTGTGAAAAAAGTCTTCCTACAGTCACATGGACATCATTCCCTCCTCTGACATTGACTCACTTGCTTCTATTAGTTTATCAGCCAAATCAGAAGATAGTGCTGCTCCCTCCAGTTTTCACCCACCTGTCTCTATAAGTCAACTGAAGAGGTAACTGGAGAGACTTAATTATAATAAGTCACCAGAATGCTGAAGGCCTGTACAGAACAGCTCTGTGGGATTCTACAGATTCTACCTCTTCAACCTCAGTCTGACCCTGGAGACAGTTCCAGTGATGTGGAAGACCTGTCTTGTTAAGATTAGATTAGATGAGCTTTATTGATCTCACAGCGGAGAAATTCACTGGTCATATATTGGCATAGTAATAAAAGAAGGTGCAAACAAGGAGGAAAAGGTGCATTAAGAATAAACAATATATATACAATATATCAAGATAAATAAGGATTAAGGTGCAAGTGTACATGTATGAAAAACAAAATAAAAATAAGAAATAAAAAAATACAAGGGAGTAACACAGAGATTTGAGGTGTCATATGTACAATCAGGATGGCTTATATACAGGTGGATTGACTTTATACATTAAAGTGTAGTAGGTTGTTTCAGTATGACAGAAGACTCCACCAAGTCCTCAGTGACTATAGATCTGTTTCCCTCACAATGAAAAGGCAGATATCACTGTGAGGTTCTTTGATTTCTCCAGTGCTTTTAACACTTTTAAGCCTGACTTCCTTTTTGAGAAATTCCAGAATACAGGTGGAGGCGTCAACAGTTTGTTACACTGACTGTCAAGTAGCAGCACCACAGGTGGCTGTACTCTCGCCATTCCTTTTTACGCTGTACACCTGACTTCCAGTACCAGAGTCTTATCTGCAGAAATACTTGGTTCACTCTGAAGTCATTGGTGCATCAAAGATGGACAAGAACCTGAGTACAGAGAGCTGGCGAACAGCTTCGTGGCGAGCTGTGGGAACAATAATCTGATCCTTAATGTCAACTAAACAAAGGAGATGATTGTAGATTTCAGAACAAACTGGAACAAGTTGAATCCTATTAACATCATGGGAGAAGTGGAGGCAGTTGCGGAGTATAAACACCGTGGTGTTCGCTTGGACAACAAGCTAGACTGGAAATGCAACTGTGAAGAGTCTTGCCTAAGCACACCACTGAAACAGAAGGATCACGGGTTTGTACTAGGACCCTAATGCTGAGACCCTGATAGACAAGTGGTAGAAGATGAATATTTTCTAATCTTATAACTTTAAATTTCTCTAAATTATAAATGGGACTGAAAACTGATTCAACCTAGAACTTGCAGTGTTTTTAAATGATGAAAAGGATTTTACAATCTGACATTAAGATGCATATTTAATCCATCGCGCACAATCCCAGTCAAACAAGGTAAGTTTGTTCTTTAACATGGAAAAGTTGTAGTGCTATCAGTGTCTTTGCAAAGCACAGTACATAATTATGGCATTCACTATAACAGTTATCCAACCCTATATCATACACAGGTGATGTACTAAAATTAAAAAGCACTTCTTGTGAATTGTCTGTGAATTTAAAATCTCAAAAATCCTGTAGTGTCTGAATTTGTATGAAGAAAACATACATATACAAATAGATTTTTAGTTTGAATATTTCACCCACATTTAGGAATGAAGTCAGATTGGCAATATGTTTTAGACATGGCAACCCATGTCGTACACTCCCAGAGGACTCTTTGCACTTACTGCCAATGACATCTGTAAGTGTATGTATCTATTTATAGCTACATTCATCCCTTAATTAGATATCTATTAAAAAGGCTTCTCATTTTGCTTGCATGAATAATCCAACATAGTTTATAGGCTGATGAAGCTCGTGAAAAGATTACTGTATCAAATGACCTTTAGTTCTGCTGTCGCCTCAGAATTTTGCATGGCCAATGTTTGGAGTCGATCCCACACTTTTAGTCCCAATATCACGTGCAATTCTCCACAATATAGCATATTCCTGTGATGGACTTACACACTCCCCAAAAGGTAATAAATAGGTAGGCTAACTGTGGTTATTCTTACAGCTAATAAAACCCAAAGGGTGAATATTAGATAAGGCAAATAAAAAAATGTCTGCTACAGAAATGGTATGGCCTACACAATCAGGAAATAAGACTAATTTAAGGCTATTATCCAGCTAAAACCAATTGAAAACAAATTATTTAAACTGCTGCATTTAAACATATTAAAAGTTGAGTGGAAGAAAAAAGTAGAGAAGATAAAAAAAAAGAAATTTAGAGAATTGTAACTATAGAGTTTGGGAAAGATCATGTATTCAACACCTGTGTCCAACACCTGGGCTTAAGTAACATTCCATGTTAAGTCTCTGGAACCAAAGAAAATCACATATTTTTACCATTTTTTATATAATTTGGGTAAAATTGTAGACATTTTAGGTAACGGCATATATATTTTAAGTATTCAAAGTTGACCTAAATGTTTTTTAGGTTTCCAGACCAGATTCGCCTCCATCATTTAATTCTTGCAGCCCTGGTAGAAAGTAAGTTTTGTTCTTGTTTATTTTCAGCAATACAATGAGCTGTATAATGAACTGATACGTAGGTTTAACGTAGCCTCTGATCAAATAGCTTTCACCAACATAGAAGTTAATTTTTCAAGGACGGCTCAAAGGCAAAAATAAAAATTTAGTAAACACTTTATTCAAATGCAGCAATCAGGTACATTAGTTATTTTGTGATATAAACTGTTAATACTCCAAACATCAGATGTCAACATAACACGTGGACTGTGCTTGACCCTTTGAAGGAATCAGAAGCTCTTTAAAACGAAGTTCACTTTTCAGTTTGGGTGGAGTTATAAAGTGCTGACATGGTTTAGGATATAAAGAAATAATGGAGTTTTTACATGAACGTTTTTTTTTTTTCCATGGCTACAGGTAAAAGGCAACATAACATTAATTTAAAGTTCATAATAGCATAAATCTATTGTGCACAATTATCTTTGTCAAAAGTGTTTTATCTTAGCAGAATATAGGTGCACTTTCAGGAAAAGCCCATGCAAAGCCAAATGCTGCTTCACGTCCCATGGACAAACCATTTATAGCAGACCTGAAGTCTGTTTCGCATTAAGTTTTATTCAAAATCAAATCTAACTGGAATCCGTTTCGTTTCATTCACAACATTCAGCTAATCTCATGCAGCTCAGCTTTGTTTGGTCAAGTGTTGACGTGACGCAGGACGCGCCGGAGTGACAGGCCATCTCGTTCGGTGCACATGGCAGGTAGGGGTATGGGCTCCGTCTTCTGCTCTACTACATTGAAGGGGCACTTCTTTAGGTGAACGGACATGCTGGGCACCTCAGTAAAACCCCAGGAGGACACTGGAGTAAATGCAGTGCTGAATCTCCATACCTGTAACACAAAAATATATTGGAATGACTAGGTTAATCTACATTCAAAAGTATTAATACTCATTGAACTTATTTTCATTTTTTTTAACCCTATAACTAAACCATCACAAGTACAGAAGATTGCAAAGTGGAGGAAAATTAAACATAGTTTCAGAATTATTATTATACTAAAGTCACCATCACTGCTCAGTCCCCCTGACATTTTTGTTGCAGCGGCTTCTGCTAAAATACAGCTGCAGACCTATGGCGTATTTTTTTTTTCTGTGAGATCAATTTTCAAGTCTGGGCAGGATTAGATTTAGGTCTGGAACAAATTAATATACTGATATTGATATTAGCTGCAGGTCTAGATCGCTGCATGTTAGTGTCACGACCCTCCTGTACGGTGAAACTATCATCCATGGTTTCTCTGCTCCATTTAACCTATCAGGTTCAACTAACCTCTGTGATTCTATATAAGAAAATCATCCATACAGCTGATAGCATCAACACCATTACACCCTACCCAATGTTGTTGGTTAAGGGGGATGTGCAGCATTGTTTTTTGGTTTTGACAGTTTTGCAAGTCAAAAAAGTCTGGAAAAATGTTGTACTTTTGGTCTAAACACTAAAAATAGCACTAAATGACTTGTAGAATCCTCAGATTTTTTCTTCTTCCATCTCTTCCAAAAGACTGGATCGTTGCCCTACTAAGAGTTGGTTGTTCACAGATTTGCCTACAGAATTGTGAATTTCTGTAGCTCCTCCAGAGTTAAGACTGGGCCTATTGACTGCACCCTTGGTGCTTTTTAGCAGGTTTCCATTCGTACTATATTATTTTCATATTTTGATGAGGCATGGAACTGTGTGTTGGAAGATGTCCAAAGTTTATAGTATTTTTTTATAATTTAACCCTGTTTTAAACTTCAGGTTTGTCTCTTGCTCTTTATGATGCTGTTTTCTCATTGATGTTCTCTAAAAACCCTAGAAGGCCTTCAGAGGTCAGCACTGGATTACCTACCGCTGGACTCTGACTAGTTTGGTGACTTCTAATTCTGAAGGCAGAATTATAAGTTAGGTAAATCAATTTCAGTTAGGATTAACAGTAAAGTGGACTGTATCTTTTTTTATGCCACATTTTTCAGACTTTTATTTGTGAGGAAATATGAAAACTATACTAGCCCTTTTACTCCCACTTCATTGGCATGTACCATTTATGCTAATCTGTCAAATTTAATCTCAATAAAACACATTCAAACATTACTTTTGACTCTGGTACCACATTTTTAAATACAGTTAGTTATTTTACAGGTCAAAAGCTGTATGAGATTCAAACTTGCCTTATTTTTGACCTGCCACGATACATTGCCTTCAGGAGAAACTGTTCGCTCCCACTGCAGCTCTACAATGCCTCTGGTCTGAAGGAGACTGGCACACACTTCCCTCATAGTCCTAGAAACCAAGGACAACTGGCACAAGCTAAAACTGTCCAGGAATCCAGCTACGTGCCACAGAATCTCAATGGGCAGCCTGCTGAACTGGTCTGACTGGGAGTCCGTTGGAGGTTGCGGTCTAGTGCAGGGTTGGACCCCAAACGCCTTGAGGTGTCTATCGTGAACTACCTTGGCTCCCTGGGTGGATGGGTAAAATCTCCGCTGGGAAAATGTGCAGCCATAATATGCAAGAGGGCAGCGTTGCTCTATCCAGCCACTGAGCCAAGCATGAATCTCTCCATGGATGTTTCTGAAATGCGATGAAAACTGGTCCCGCCTGAACGACTGTCCGCACAGGAAGGGAAAGGTGTGTTGATGTTGGGGGTTAGGTGGGAGGTAACGATTGTAAGGGACTGCCTCTGACTCTAAAGCTTCCAGAACCTGGCCAAGGCGGAGGGTGCGAAGCGGGCTGGGATAGTTCAGCTGTGGTGCAGCATGGTCACAGGCTGAAGCAGAGGCCATGTCACCAACTCTTGTATTGGTCACCAAGATTGCAGCAGGAAATGTGAAAGTCTGCGTGCCAAGGTCAACATGGTAGCCATCAACATAGACTGTATCAGAAATCCTTCTACACTCCCTGGACTCTTCTAAACAGAAAAGTAGAGCTGCTGGTATAGCATCAATCTCTCCAAGACCCATTGGATCTTCTTCATGCTCCAAGTCTGAAGTATCAACTGCTTTGTCTTCCATTTCTGCCTGCGCTCTATATGCTGATCTACCGGGTTTAACGCCGACTTGTCCATTATACAAAGGATATTGGCCCTGACCCTTATAGAAGTGGTTGAGGTGAAGCATCCTCTCTGGCCCAAGATTTCCTGGAAGGACTAGTCCTTTATTGTGCTGAACAATATGATCAGCCTGCTGTGCCACCCCCTGGCTAACATGAACTGGAGACATCATCTGAAGGGTTGCAGGTTCCAAGTAAGCATCAGCACAGGCCTCTGTTGCTCCCGTCAATGGTCCGTTGACTCTGCTTTTGTCCTGCATTCTAGTTCCTTCAAGAGCTCCATTTTCCCCTGAACAGCTCTGATTAGAACACATCTCCTTTTTGTTACTTGTGTGCAAACTGTCGGCATCTTGAGGGGTTATGTCCTCCAGTCCATTCTGAATGTTTCCATTTAACAGCAAATCTACATTCTGAACCACTGAACTACTTTCACCACAGCTGGCGCTGCTAACAAAGTCTAAAGCAGCAGCTAAACTTCTAGCAGTCTCAACGGTGGCCTCATACAGCTTACTGAGGTGTTCCTCTTTCAGACCGTTAATCCCACTGAGAATCTTTTCCTTTGCTGAACCTTTGGGGACTAACTGGGATTGATGCAAGGAGGACAACTGAGGAACTGGAGCTTCAGGTGGAGAAGCCTGAAAAGTTACATGTTGTGCTTTCTCTTTTTTAATAACTGAATCATCTTGTGTAGACGGTGTCTTTGAAATCATCTTCATCGACTCAAGGAGTGTTTGCTGGTCCTGAAGAGCGAGCGCCATGTCCAGCTGCTCCATCTCCTCCAACAGACCAATTAGACTCTCATAAGAGGTGTAGTTCAAGCAGCTGACAGGCCACCTATTCCACTCCATAGTGCAGCAGACGACTCCAGCTGGACACACATCCAAGTGCGCGGACATCTGACTGCGGATCAGCATAGCCGGGCAGCCATGGCCACTATTAAGGCAAGGAACCTTCATGAGGGGGCACAAGAGTTGGTGCTCATCAACTTTGCAGGAGTGGAGCACGGCCCCACACACCAATGGACAGGCGATGAGATCACAGGAGACTCCTGGTTCAGGTTTGATGGTGCACCTCTGGTTAAAACAGGAGATGCAGTGAACATGATGCTCCATCTTCAGAGCCAAGGCCATGGAGTGGTATGGGCGCCTCTGTAGGAAAATACAAAGAGACAATAAAGCTTTAATTGTGTAAATGTTTTAGAAATACAAAGAGACAAAGGCAATAAAAAGCAGGCTAGAAATATCATCACTGCTGTGAGACAGTTCATATTTACTGGCATGTTTTGAATATGTCGGTACACATTTTACTGAAACAAAAGTGCAAAAAGTAAAACAAAAAACACACAAATAAATGACATTATAGGATATAAAAGAAATAAAGCCAAATAACGATGTCTTTAATTTTGAGAAAAAAAAAGTTTAGCTATTTTACAGTAGACTTGTTTTCTTGTTTCTCTACATCTTTAGAAAAGTTCATATCTATCTGACCTTAAAGAAAACAATTAAGGAGTTCTGTAAATTATTTATTATCTTATATTGGGATCGGTGATTAAATACGCACATATGATCACAACTGAGGCATTACTCAGAGAGGAGCTAGTTCAATCACCAGGAAAAGTTTAACTTAAACTATCAACTCTGTAGGAAAGTTTCGAGTATTATAATATATTATATATTTTCGGTCATCTGTACAGTTTTTTTCCCCCGATCCTACATGCTACAATAAGCCATTATGTTATCATTGGTCAGTTTCTGAGTAAGAACACTTAGTATTGTAGCAACAGGCGGCTAGCTAAAGCTAGGACAGAGCTCTGCTAATGGCTAAAAACAGCTAGCTCAGACGGAAGTTGAACAGTTCACAACAAAACAAACTTTTGGTCAAATTATGTATTTGCGTTCCAGGTGTTTCTCACCTGTGTGTTGTGCTGACAGGAAAACCGTGTTACGACGTGTTTTATCTGTTCTAAATTAATGCGACCAGACCAGTGTATTAATCATAGTTGCCTCTGGGAAGAAACTGCTAAAGATAGCTAGCCACTCTCAGTCCATCTCTTAACAGCTCTTTTTTTTTTTTTCAACTTTCCAAAACTTTATTTCTTCTTCTTGCCTGAGACTGTTGTTCCTCTTCTTCGGAGGCAACGTCTTACCCCCAGATTCCACATACTCCGTCAGCGCTCCGCTCCGCTCCGCCCCGCTGACGTACGTCGTGCGGAGCGCTTGTCTTTCATGGAAATCAATGAGAACTGTTCCACATCCACCGCTACTCCTCCGCACGTCTCCGTCCACGTACGTCTTCTCCGTCCGTCACCGACAAATTACGGAGCCGAGCTATTTTTTGCTCCGCTCTGGTGTTATGCCCAAAAGTGCATGCCTGCCGAAATATGCATCCCCAGTCGCGGGAGCGCGCCTCGCTCTGTTGAACTGCATATCGACGAGGAAAACGGATTAAAATATGTTCAATGGAGCTTAGGTTCTTATATTAATGATATAAAAACGTTTAAAAATACCTCTCGTGGGAAAAAAGTTGTGGTTATTTGGCAGATTAATTTACAAAAGTACGGATTTTTTTGAACAACATTAAATCCAAAGATTTTGACCATGGTACGGCTGATTTATTTGTTGTGGTCTCTTGCTATTTACACACAACACTAAACCGTGATAGCCGAAGTGAGTTTTGAGTTTGCAAAGCTTTTTCTTAAGTGGAAAATCAAACGCGCACCTACAAAGCACAGCGTTCACAGACCAGTGAGATGCGTTCGCTGCGCGTCAGAAAGCTATGGTGCATTCAGGAGCATTAGAACATTTTAAACTTACAAGAATGAGGCATAAAACAGAACTGTATTTTTACTGAACTGTATTGTATTTTTTTTTTGTTTGTTTATGCACATCTGCTAGCTTTTTATTCTAAAAAATCTATAATATTGCAGCAGCAATTTATCAATGTTTTTCAAAATCCTGTTTAAAAGCTCCAAATGGGGCTTCAGATCATATGAAGCAACAATTGCACTGTCATTGTTTTACAGGGCAGTATTTGCATTTGCTGATCCTTGTACTTAATTACTGATGAATATACAGGAATACAGATGTACAAGTGTCAACTCCTCTGAGATAGCAGGGGATGGAATTTTTGGCAAGGACCTGCCAAAAAATGCATCCCCCTTGTTTTTAACTTAAAGATTGTCCCACACACATGAAATTCACACTGGTAGCTCAGCACACATGTGGAAGCAGGTAGAAATTGAAACATCAGCTACAAATCTATATTTCTGGAAAAAAGCAGGGGATGCAATTTTTGGTAAAGACCTGCCAAAAAATGCATCCCCCTTGTTTTTAACCTAAGGACCTGCCAAAAAATGCATCCCCCTTGTTTTTAACTTAAACATTGTCCCACACACATGAAATTCACACTGGTAGCTCAGCACACATGTGGAAGCAGGAAGAAATTGAAACATCAGCTACAAATCTATATTTCTAGAAAAAAGCAGGGGATGCAATTTTTGGCAAGGACCTGCCAAAAAATGCATCCCCCTTGTTTTTAACCCAAAGATTGTCCCACACACATGAAATTCACACTGGTAGCTCAGCACACACGTGGAAGCAGGTAGAAATTGAAACATCAGCTACAAATCTATATTTCTGGAAAAAAGCAGGGGATGCAATTTTTGGTAAAGACCTGCCAAAAAATGCATCCCCCTTGTTTTTAACCTAAGGACCTGCCAAAAAATGCATCCCCCTTGTTTTTAACTTAAACATTGTCCCACACACATGAAATTCACACTGGTAGCTCAGCACACATGTGGAAGCAGGTAGAAATTGAAACATCAGCTACAAATCTATATTTCTGGAAAAAAGCAGGGGATGCTATTTTTGGCAAGGACCTGCCAAAAAATGCATCCCCCTTGTTTTTAACCTAAGGACCTGCCAAAAAATGCATCCCCCTTGTTTTTAACTTAAAAATTGTGCCACACACATGAAATTCACACTGGTAGCTCAGCACACATGTGGAAGCAGGTAGAATTTGTCACATCAGCTACAAATCTATATTTCTGGAAAAAAGCAGGGGATGCAATTTTTGGCAAGGACCTGCCAAAAAATGCATCCCCCTTGTTTTTAACTTAAAGATTGTCACACACACATGCAATTCACACTGGTAGCTCAGCACACATGTGGAAGCAGGTAGAAATTGAAACATCAGCTACAAATCTATATTTCTGGAAAAAAGCAGGGGATGCAATTTTTGGCAAAGACCTGCCAAAAAATGCATCCCCCTTGTTTTTAACCTAAGGACCTGCCAAAAAATTTTTCTCCCTTGTTTTTAACTTAAAAATTGTCCCACACACATGAAATTCACACTGGTAGCTCAGCACACATGTGGAAGCAGGTAGAATTTGTCACATCAGCTACAAGTGTATATTTCTGGATAAAATCAGGGGATGCAATTTTTGGCAAGGACCTGCCAAAAATGCATCCCCCTTGTTTTTAACTCAAAGATTGTCCCACACACATGAAATTCACACTGGTAGCTCAGCACACATGTGGAAGCAGGTAGAAATAGAAACATCAGCTACAAGTGTATATTTCTGGATAAAAGCAGGGGATGCAATTTTTGGCAAGGACCTGCCAAAAAATGCATCCCCCTTGTTTTTAACCTAAGGACCTGCCAAAAAATGCATCCCCCTTGTTTTTAACTTAAAAATTGTCCCACACACATGAAATTCACACTGGTAGCTCAGCACACATGTGGAAGCAGGTAGAATTTGTCACATCAGCTACAAGTGTATATTTCTGGATAAAAGCAGGGGATGCAATTTTTGGCAAGGACCTGCCAAAAAATGCATCCCCCTTGTTTTTAACTCAAAGATTGTCCCACACACATGAAATTCACACTGGTAGCTCAGCACACATGTGGAAGCAGGTAGAAATTGAAACATCAGGTCCTGGCGTGATGTTTCACGCCAGGACCTGGCGTGAAACATCACGCAGGCAGGTCCTTGCCAAAAATTGCATCCCCTGCTTTTTTCCAGAAATATAGATTTGTAGCTGATGTTTCAATTTCTACCTGCTTCCACATGTGTGCTGAGCTACCAGTGTGAATTTCATGTGTGCGGGACAATTTTTAAGTTAAAAACAAGGGGGATGCATTTTTTGGCAGGTCCTTAGGTCAAAAACAAGGGGGATGCATTTTTTGGCAGGTCTTTGCCAAATATTGCATCCCCTGCTTTTTTCCAGAAATATACACTTGTAGCTGATGTGACAAATTCTACCTGCTTCCACATGTGTGCTGAGCTACCAGTGTGAATTTCATGTGTGTGGGACAATTTTTAAGTTAAAAACAAGGGGGATGCATTTTTTGGCAGGTCCTTAGGTTAAAAACAAGGGGGATGCATTTTTTGGCAGGTCTTTGCCAAATATTGCATCCCCTGCTTTTTTCCAGAAATATACACTTGTAGCTGATGTGACAAATCCTACCTGCTTCCACATGTGTGCTGAGCTACCAGTGTGAATTTCATGTGTGCGGGACAATTTTTAAGTTAAAAACAAGGGGGATGCATTTTTGGCAGGTCCTTGCCAAAAATTGCATCCCCTGCTTTTATCCAGAAATATACACTTGTAGCTGATGTGACAAATTCTACCTGCTTCCACATGTGTGCTGAGCTACCAGTGTGAATTTCATGTGTGTGGGACAATTTTTAAGTTAAAAACAAGGGGGATGCATTTTTTGGCAGGTCCTTGCCAAAAATTGCATCCCCTGCTTTTTTCCAGAAATATAGATTTGTAGCTGATGTTTCAATTTCTACCTGCTTCCACATGTGTGCTGAGCTACCAGTGTGAATTTCATGTGTGTGGGACAATTTTTAAGTTAAAAACAAGGGGGATGCATTTTTTGGCAGGTCCTTGGGTTAAAAACAAGGGGGATGCATTTTTTGGCAGGTCTTTGCCAAATATTGCATCCCCTGCTTTTTTCCAGAAATATACACTTGTAGCTGATGTGACAAATTCTACCTGCTTCCACATGTGTGCTGAGCTACCAGTGTGAATTTCATGTGTGTGGGACAATGTTTAAGTTAAAAACAAGGGGGATGCATTTTTTGGCAGGTCCTTAGGTTAAAAACAAGGGGGATGCATTTTTTGGCAGGTCTTTACCAAAAATTGCATCCCCTGCTTTTTTCCAGAAATATAGATTTGTAGCTGATGTTTCAATTTCTACCTGCTTCCACATGTGTGCTGAGCTACCAGTGTGAATTTCATGTGTGTGGGACAATCTTTAAGTTAAAAACAAGGGGGATGCATTTTTTGGCAGGTCCTTAGGTTAAAAACAAGGGGGATGCATTTTTTGGCAGGTCCTTGCCAAAAATTGCATCCCCTGCTCTTTTCCAGAAATATAGATTTGTAGCTGATGTTTCAATTTCTACCTGCTTCCACATGTGTGCTGAGCTACCAGTGTGAATTTCATGTGTGTGGGACAATTTTTAAGTTAAAAACAAGGGGGATGCATTTTTTGGCAGGTCCTTAGGTTAAAAACAAGGGGGATGCATTTTTTGGCAGGTCCTTGCCAAAAATTGCATCCCCTGCTCTTTTCCAGAAATATAGATTTGTAGCTGATGTTTCAATTTCTACCTGCTTCCACATGTGTGCTGAGCTACCAGTGTGAATTTCATGTGTGCGGGACAATTTTTAAGTTAAAAACAAGGGGGATGCATTTTTGGCAGGTCCTTGCCAAAAATTGCATCCCCTGCTTTTATCCAGAAATATACACTTGTAGCTGATGTGACAAATTCTACCTGCTTCCACGTGTGTGCTGAGCTACCAGTGTGAATTTCATGTGTGTGGGACAATTTTTAAGTTAAAAACAAGGGGGATGCATTTTTTGGCAGGTCCTTGCCAAAAATTGCATCCCCTGCTTTTTTCCAGAAATATAGATTTGTAGCTGATGTTTCAATTTCTACCTGCTTCCACATGTGTGCTGAGCTACCAGTGTGAATTTCATGTGTGTGGGACAATTTTTAAGTTAAAAACAAGGGGGATGCATTTTTTGGCAGGTCCTTGGGTTAAAAACAAGGGGG